TAGGTGACGTCACCCCAGGGGATCGCTCTGGGTAAAGGCCCTGTCACACTGTTGCGTATCGCATTAGCGTATGGCAGCGTATGATAAATATCACGCATACGCCGGAATACGCTGAAATATGTTGGTGGTACGTCGTGCGTAAGTTATACACGTTCCAAGCACGGTCACATACGCTGGTATACGCCGAGGAAGAAAATTTTTTTTAAGCATGCTTAAAAATCTTGTGCGTGTTTGGACGTATGGTTTATACGGTAAAGATAAGCTAGTCATACGCTGAATACGGCAGAAGGACGCTAAATGTACTGTACTAATAGGTTGAGTACGCTAATCATACGCAAATAAGTAAGTGTGCCGTACAACTAACGTGTTGATAGCGCATCACTAACGAAGGTCTAACTTATGTTTGACGTATGTTTAACGTCTATAGAGGGCTTAGCGTATGACTGACGATTAAGTAACGCATTTACCGTACAATTAGCGTATAGTTAACGCCTGGTCGTCGTATCCTCAGCGTATTGCAAACGTTACGAGAAAGGGTATATAAATATTATAGCATGTCATTTATTGTGTAATATATATTTATGTTGGATGCCTTCATATCATCTTGTACCTTCGAGAATAAAGGATGGAGTTAGTTGTTCTTGAATACCAGTTTGATCTCATAGCTTTGACGATTCGTCACATAGAAAATAACAGAAGGAAAAGGAGAAAAAGAAAAAGACGTGAGGTATGGTTGAAATCATGGATGGAAGGCGAAGGCAGTTTGGCATTTACGACCAACTTCTGGTGGAACTCCGAAGCGAGGATACGCGATGTTTCAAGAACTTTAGGCGGATGGTCCCCGAGATGTTTGATGAGCTTCTGGAAAAAGAGTGAGTCCCACGATCACCAAGAAACATACCTGGTATAGGCAACCCCTGGAGCCTGGGCTGAAGCTCTCTTTGACTTTGCGACACCTTGCCTCTGGGAGCACGTATTCAAGCCATGAAGTACGGATGGAGGGTCCCCCACAACACCCAGTCACTTATTGTCAGAGAGGTTTGCCAAGCCATCATCGACGAATACATGTCCGAAGTAATGACCTGCCCTACCACGCCAGAGGGATGGCGTGCCATATCTGATAAGTTCCTCAAGACGTGGAACTTCCCCCATACATGTGGTGCTATAGATAGAAAGCACATTGCCTGCAAGTGTCCACCAAAAAGTGGATCCCAATATTTCAACTACAAGAGATTCTACTCTGTTGTACTCATGGGCCTTGTAGACGCAGATTATAAATTAATTTGGGCAGACCTCGGTGGTAAAGGGTCATCATCGGACGCACAGATCTACAACAACTCTGAAATCAAAGAATTAACAAAAGACGGAACTATAGGATTCCCCGTCCCCGATGCTTTACCAAATCACTATCAGAGTGTCCCCTACTTCTTTGTAGGTGACGATGCCTTTGCCTTCCGAGAGACAATGATGAAGCCATACAGCCGCCGTGATCTACACCATGAAGAGAGGATATTAAACTACAGGATTTCCCGCGCCAGAAGAGTAGTTGAAAACGCTTTTGGCATCCCGACGAATCGTTTGCAGGTTCTGTTAACTACAATGCAGCATCACCCTGCTACAGTGAAGCTCGTCGTTAAAGCTTGTATTGTCCTGCACAATCTCATGAGGATACGCTACCCTTAATTACAGAACCAGCATCTAGACCATGAAGTGAACATGAACAACAACTTCATTCCTGGACCATGGAGACAAGACAGAAATTTGCTCGACACACATACAGTTGTTGGGAGAAACACATCCACCAACAAAGGAAAGGGGCTAAGGAATCTGTTGAAGCACTGGGTCAACTCAGAGGCAGGTGCAGTTCCAATGGCAAGACAGAATGATTTAGATCAAATTATTGTAAACGAAACTAAACCACAACAAAACTTTTTGTAGATGTCGAAACACATGTTAATTATATAGTCACTCCAACATTAATACTGCAAGATTTTAGAATATATACAATGTTGTCCTTTAGACAAGGGTGTAAATGCAGTGTGTATTATGAAATTATGAGAAACAAAAAATGAGAATTTAATTTTGACATGTCGATTATCGCGAGAGTTACTACAGTAACAAAATAGTCAATACTTCTTTCACGTTGGTGGTCGAAGGTTGAGAACCTCATCCTGAAATCCAACATCATCAGTAGATTCCATGATGTCTCGAAATCTTGAAAGACTAGTAATGTTCGGGTGACTTTGCTCAAAGGCTGAGCTTGGACTGTGCGGCGTTGGGCTAGACGTTTCCGTTATTAACTCTGTTGCAGAAGCCAAAGAGGCACTAACCGGGCCAGAGGTAGGAGTTCATTGTTGCTGAGTTTGCTGAGACGGTTGCTGAGCAAGCTGTTGGGAAAGAGGAATCATCTGCTGTTGTTTAGTGGTAGTCTTGTGATGATGTGGATACTGAAATAACCGCTGGTGAAACTGCTGTATGTACTCCATGGGCTGAGAGCCTCTCACCAACGATGCCAGAGGCATGTTTATAGGCATGTTGCTAAGTTTCTGATAATGCTCAGAGAAGGATGGTGCTGATGCTCTAAATGAACAGAAGGGAATAGTTGTAGTGGGGTGCAAATCGTGAGGTGGTTGAGAAGGGATCCCTTGTTGGTTTACTTTGAAAGATGGAGCCGCCATTGCAATTGGAAATTCATCATCGCTGTCCTCATCCATGAGTTCAGACAATAACCTATTGATGGAGGACCTTGCCTTCTTGTACTTTGACTTGGACATAGTCAAAAGGCTCTCTTAACATAATTTGCAAAGACACTTCGTGCTGTAATGGGCTGTTGTTTGGCTTTGTAGATGTCTTTGAGGATGGTGCTAGACTCAGCAACTCTCTTCTGTAGAGTCTCAAGGACGTCACTCTCTGTGTCCTGAGGTAGCTTGTGGGACCTTCCAGCGGTAGATGATTGTATTGGAGTGACCTCATCTAAGACATCCTGCATATCAGCGCAGGCGCTCTCGGCAGCATTAAGATCTCCTCTGTGAAGCTGGATGGTTTCAAATTACTTGGTCATCATGTTGCTAAGGTAATATGGCTGTCTACTTACACTCTGCATGGGCTCCGGTCGGTGGCGAGTGACAGTCTTCAGGAAGGCAAACTTTGAGAGGATCCACTGTTCTCTCTCAGTCAGGTTTGGAGCACTAACCCCGCTTTTCTTCTTGTCAAGGCACGTATGGGTGTCGCGCAACGATCTGAACCAGCCCTTGAGGATGTCAACAGTCTTGTTCATTTGATGTGCTTGCTCTTCCTAGATCTTCTCTTTCTTGTCTTTCCGCCTATAATCTGTCATCTTCACATTCCTTCTGTGGCACTGAGGTTATAGGGGTTTTTCTTCGCCCTCTTCCTCTCATTTTTCTCCTTGCTATCAGCCCGCTGGAAGGAGGTGAAGTCATCAATGGTTTCAGATGATAAAGCCGATGAATTATGGGAGTCGGTTGTGTTGGGGACTTTGAGAGCTCAGGAACTTGTCGCGCATTATTTAAAGATGTCTCAGGAATAAGTGCATCATCATCAGGTGGTTCAACTACATCTGCAGGTGCACAAACACGTTGTTCGTAAGCTTTGGCAACGGCTGATGATGGAGTCCTCTTTCCTTTTCTTCGTCCGCGGGTAGATGATGTCTTCTTATTTGCCATGGTGTCTTCTTCTTTTTTCACTGTAGGTTTGACATTTTCTCGAATGGAGCCGTGTGAAAATACTGCCGCTTATATACGATTAAAGTGGACATGCGCATTCCAAACGCTTCTCGTAAGCTATTCATACGCTGGCATACGCCAGCGACAGGCTACTCATACGATACTCATACGTTTAATAAGTTAATTTTATGCAAAATGTCCTATTTTTACGGACTTTTTCGTGCGTATAAAAATGAATGAAATGATCTTTATACGCGACTCATACGTTCCTATCATACGCAACAGTGTGACAGGGCCTTAAGGTATTCAACAATAAATGGAATTATGTTTATTTTTTAGAAATATGAGTATTGTGTTAAAATCATACAAGAAATTGCCAATGATTTATTTCATATAGCCTATAACTATGAAAATGCGGTTTTACAGAGGACATTGAACTATGTACATACCAAGATTGGAAAAATTGAAGAACCCGTATTGAAGAATCGTACTTTACTGAATTTACTTTAATCTTATATTGTGATATTGCTGAGGGACATTTTGAAGAATGCAATATAATTTAACGAAACAAGACGCAGGTTGAACTTAGATTCAAGCAAATATCTGTCAATATCACTGGTCGAAGCTAGATAACCTTCAAATACAGTCGAAAATTTGCAGCCTCAATCTGCGTTTCATTTCTTGTACATTGCAACCCCAAGATGATTTATTGATTCGAAATTTGATCTTTCTTTCATTTCTTTTTTATCTGTTGGCCGTTGCCCATGCAGATTTCGCAACGTTTGAGATTCGAATTCTTTCGACGGTTGTTCTAATTTTCGTGTTTATATATTACTACTTTTAAAGCTTCTATATTTCAGCATCCGTAATATTTTTTTACTTTAGGTCGCCATCCTCCGATGAAACTTAACAGTTTTTTGACATGAAATGGACTTACATTCAATGATTGCAAACTTTCTTTATCCAAACTGGCCAGCATCAAGCCGTCAATTAACTCCTCCTCGAAGGTTTCAACGTATTTTTCCATTCCTAAATAGGTCAATAACTTGCCAACATCTGCGACAGTTAAACCTGAAAGATCTAGGGGATACTTTGCGATTTTTTGGTAAATTTCTTCCCTTTCCTGTTCAGCCGTGAGAGTCTGCTCTGGAGTAGCCACTAACTCAACTACACCTGCCTGGGGTGAGGACTTGGGATCTGGTGGGTTATCGGGGGATTCAGGTGGACTGCCTGGTCTTTGGGGTTGCGTATTAGGAGAATTAGACGGCGGAGGAGAGGGCCTGGGTGGAAGGGCTGGCGGTGTCTTTTTTCTAGTAGGCTAGGAGGTTTTAGGAGGGAATGGAGGCGGAGAATTTGGTGAGCTAATGGTGGGACATTCACCTGGTATACTATACTCATTTTGAGATTGCGTGTTAGGAGTTGGGGGCAAACTGCGCGCTTTTCGAGAAAGATCTGTCTTGTTTTCAGATCTTTTATTTCTCGGTGGCAAAGACAAATATTTCCATAAAATTGGCAGGGCGATTGCACCTTCGGGTGATTTTGGTTTGGCGGGGTTTTCAGGCTGATCTTTTGTGCTTGGAGTTGGTTGTTGGACGATAAGTTCTCCGTATTTATGGTTGGAGGCGTATCTTGGACCAAGTTCTGTATATGGTAATTCTTTCTGGCATTCGCTGTCTTGTCGTTCTTCCATCGTCTGATAAATAGAATTCGGTTCAGCTTCGACCGTTGCTTCGACTATGGTCTTACCCTCGATATTTTCGGGGATGGTTGCTTTTGGCCTTTTGGGGGGTAGGTCAGGGGGCGGTTTGGAAACCCTGGATTGCCTGCTCCTCGTGATCGTAGCAGGATCAATGTATTCATAGGCGTTTGTCTCAGTTTTCTCCCTGCCTTGGTTGAAGATTTTAGAAAGATTAGGGAATTCTTCGCTAGCTGTAAACGTCTCTTCGCTGACAGTCAATCCTACGTTCAAATCACAGGTTAATTGAATCTGATTATGTTTCCCATTAACATGTATTGTTGTTGCTGTGACCACGGTCTCTTTAGAGATTCTATCAAGACAAAGCGCTTGATAGGGTTGGCAGGGGGACTCGTTAGGCGAGCGGCGATCTTCACCAATTTCTCTGACGAATTGCACATTCAATGGCAACTTGAATTTCTTTACAACATCTGATAGGTAGTACTCTTTTCCATCGGTCAGAGGTTGAAAACCGGCCACGGTGTCTTTCGGTAATTCGATCTTGTGACGATGCTGGTCGAAACAGATTAATGTGTCTTGCTTTTTGTTAACACCTTTCAAGTGCAATTTATCCCCGACTTCCACTAAAACCTCTCCTGATGCCTCAGAATAACAACCTTGAAAATAAAAAACAAATAAAACAATTTTTATTCATGTAAATATTGAATGCAACGCAATAACAAATTGCATAAATCCGAAAATAAAATCTTATAAATTCTGAATGATTTTTACGCGGTTTTAAATGTATGTATATTCTGGTATTGTATTACGGAAGAAAATATTTCGTCTGATATGAATTATTAAATGAAATGTCATATTTTTAACCACAGGAGGCATGTCACAGAAGCGAGTATTAAACCTGGATTAAAAACTAAAAAGACTCGAAAATGGCTTATTTATTCACGAGAAGCGGCGAAAATTTTAACAACAAAAACCCAGCGAAACAATTTTCTCTCTCGTGCTTGGGAAGACAAGCTCTTTGCCAAGCTCTGGCAAGCAAGAGCAAATCGGATTAAATGCATTCCTTTGTCAATTTTTTTGTGACCTTTATTTTTAAAAGTTCTTATACGTAGCTTGTACGAGACGAAGCTCATAGTTAATAGTGCATATGAACTTGCAAACCAAACAAAGGTGGGGGCTTCATTGCTATCGATCGTCAAGCTAATTTTGACATTAGGTATATACTTCATGTCTGCTAGTTGTATTATCATAAGGCTACATTGAACGTGGGAGAATTAGTTGGACTCTATGAATCTCTACTGGTTTATTGCATTCCAAAGGTACCAAAGTCAGTGCCTGTCTAGCAGCGAAAACGTCTCGAAGTTTCGACCTAAAGGCTCTAGCCAGAATTGCCTCACTTTATAGAATCTTCTGTAATTTCTCCTAACTGCAATAAATAAGTTATTATAGGAAACGTATGGTTGAAAACGGCAGTGTTGACATAGACGGCCAAAATAAACATTGTGAATTGGTCTTATCAATTCAACACGTTTAGGGAAGTTCTGTATGAATTGAACGACCGCATCTTATAGTGGTTTGTTATCAGCCGTCGTCGTCCATATTCCTGACCTAAATCTTTAAGTTTGCTACTTACCTTGTGAGACACGAACGCATTTTGGAGACACTGAACAAAGCTCTTCTACGCGTTCATAAACATCTTTCAAATTCGATGGACGAATTTCGACTTTGGTTCGACAATCGAGAGGAATCAAAATATCTTTCCCTTTGCCCCAATTCAAGCGACCATGGACCTTCCCACCAGATTGAACGGAATGCAAGCATAATATTGTATCATTGCAGAGTGTTGAATCATCTGATTCGCCATAAAATCCCTCGGTAATTTCCTCTCACGATCTTTGGGACGGGGAGTGTTTATCCAACAACCGTGCCAAAACAAGGGACTCTGTGTCCCATTTAAGTTTATCCAATTCCAACTCTAAGTTAGGCATCTTTTATCTCGATACAGAACAGAGCACAGAAGTGCAGAGCAGAGTAATGAATCAGTCACCCAATCAAGAATAATTAAATCAGCCTATGCTCATCTCGGGATGACGTAATTCTAGGTGACGTCACCCCAGGGAATACCCCCTACGATTTTGTAAAATATGCAAATAAGTAAACACTCATCGTAGTTTATAAGCACATACCATAACCAGGCCCTGTGACACGAATGCGCTTCAGGATTCGCATGGTCAAGACATAATTTCAAGGTTGTTTTACGGTATCTCTTTCCCCAGAACTTTTTCATTTGGCAGATTAGGTTAAAGCAATCATGCTATCAATGCTTTCATACTCCTCGGGGTGAAACTCGCTTTGACATCGCTAATTCTGCTCTCCTTGCGAATCCGTGCAAACATGGACTAACTTTTCTGTGTATACATTTGAACTAAACTAATCAGATGAAACCATATGGTTTTATGTCTTTTGCAAGATATACTTTACTGCACAATCTTGCAAAAGGTTTTGGGTGCACTAAGGAAGTCAATAGTCTGACACTTAACATAAAAAAAGTAAAAATAAAATGCGACAAGGACATATAAGAGGCTTAAAATAAATCCTCTGACCAAAAAACTTCAAAAATTAGTTGATGAAATATTTTTCTGTAATTCAAATTACAAATTTGTTTAGTAAACGTTCTATATGGTATTTTTGCTGTTTGATAATCTCTCTCGCTCGTTTTTCAAGTCTTAGGAGTGATTATATTAATTTCATTACTTTTATCAATCTTTTTATTTTAGAATATAGTGAAAACAGAACGAACTTAACGATCATAAATTTAATTATTTGATTTGAATTATTTAAATGCATCAAATTGTTTCTGCATATGAATTTATACTCTAGGTCGCCATCCTCCGATAAACCTTAACAGTTTTTTGACATGAAATGGGCCTACATTCAATGATTGCAAACTTTCTTTGTCCAAACTGGCCAGCATCGAGCCGTCAATGAACTCGTCCTCGAAGGTTTCAACGTATTTTTCCATTCCTAAATAGATCAATAACTTGCCAACATCTGCGACATTCAAACCTGAAAGATCTAGGGGATACTTTGCGATTGTTTGGTAAATTTCTTCCCGTTCCTGTTCAGCCGTGAGAGTCTGCTCTGGAGTAGCCACTAACTCAACTACACCTGTCTGGGGTGAGGGCTTGGGATCAGGTGGGTTATCGGGGGATTCATACGGACTATCTGGTCTTTGGGGTTTCGTATCAGTAGGAGCAGGCGGCGCGGAAATTGGCCTGGGTGGAAGGGCTGGCGGGTCCTTCTTTCTGCTTGATCTACGAGGTAGTGGAGGCGGAGGTAAGGGTGTTCTGGTGGGGCATTCATCTGGAATACTATATTCATCTTGAGGTTGTGGATCAGGTTTCGGGGGCAAACTTCTCGCTTTTTGAGAAAGATCTGAGTCGCTCTTAGATTTTTTATTTCCTTGTGGCTTATCCCATAAGATTGGCAGGGCGATTGCACCTTTGGGCAATTTTGGTTTGGCAGCTTTTTCAGGCTGATCTTTTGTGCTTGAAATTGGTTGTTGGACGATAAGTTCTCCGTATTTGTGGTCGGAGGCGTATGTTGGACCAAGTTCTGTATAATTTGAATCTTTCTGGCATTCGCTGTTTTGTTCTTCAATCGTTTGATAAATAGGATTTTGTTCAGCCTCGACGGTTGCTTCGAGCGTTGTCTTCTTCTTGGTCTTTGGTTTCACGGAGAGGTTCGGTTTCGGCCTTTTGGGGGGTGGGTCAGGAGCCGGTTTGGCGACCTTGATTTCTCTGATCCCCATGATCGTAGCAGGGTCAATGTACTCGTAGGCGTTTGTCTCGGTTTTTTCTTTACCTTGGTTGAAGATTTTGAAAACGTTAGGGAAATCTTCGTTGGTTGCAAACGTCTCTTCACAAACACTCAATGCTACGTCCATATCACGAGAGAATTGAATCAAATTGTGTCTACCATTTGCACGTATCGAGGTAGCCGTGACCACGGTTTCTTTAGAGACACTATTAATGGAAATTGCTTGATACGGTTGGCAGGGGGAGTCGTTAGCCGACCTGGAGTCGTTGCCGAACCTGGGAGACCCGACTTCCACGAACTGTACATTCAATGGCAACTTGAATTTCTTTACAACATCTGATAGGTAGTACTCTTTTCCATCGGTCAGAGGTTGAAAACCAGCAACGGTGTCTTTTGGTAACTCGATCTTCTGACAATGTTGGTCGAAACATATTAATCTCTCTTTCCTTTTCTTGCTTTTGTCGATGCCCTTCAACTGCAATTTATCTCCGACTTCCACTAAAACCTCCCCTGATGGCTCAGTGTAACAACCTGAAAAAAAATTAAAAAGCGACGTTAATAAAAAAACTTTCGCCATAAATACTTCACCTTATCTTGAAGTGATATTTATAGTATGTTGCAAGACCCTTCCACCGTTTTCCTTTAAAATATTTCGCTTTTTACAATATTCACGGCACATTCCTTCGTCTTGGAATGTATACAGTAGAATGAATAGAGGTCGTTTGCTCTCGCTATTTTCTTCTTTTGATAGATGTGAACGAGTGAATTAGTTGCGAATGTTGGCGAGCTCCTATTTAACACCAGTAACTAACTTCAATTACTTTTACGGCAGCCTCGCTTTTATCTCATTATAACTTTACTGTATTTATTATTTATATCGTTATTATTTTACTGTAATATTTACTGTGTGTCTTACGATTTCCTTTATAATATAAACAAAGGCTTCGTTTTGGACAAGCATGTCATAAATTTTCACAACATATAACACCATTTCGGTTAGATGAAGTTCTAAATGGATATGAACTAGCAGAGTTTGTGTCCAAAGAAATTCAAAACATGCAAATGGATTCCGAATCAGCGACGCCAAGCTTTCTGTTGTTTATATAAGCAGAACTGCTCTCCTCGATAGGAGGAAGTGTAATCCCCCTATAATTTTAGCACAATACATATATATAATCTGTAAGATTGAAAAAAAGGATATTTATTTCTCGATATATTTTATAGAATAACAGCCTCGATAAAGTCTCAAACATTCACTGCTCGTTCAGTGTTTGCATAAACTGTTTCTACATCTGCTTTGTGACAAAGTTGAGTGGTTGACCCTTGCGGCTATTTTGTCCTGTCACGCGCGTATGAAGTGTGGTTTAATGTAGGTCTATATCTAAAGGTTAATTCTTGTAATTTTCGGGTGATTTTTCACGCTTTAATATAGTTCCTTTGTCCGGAAAGTACAGGGACTTCAAATTTTGCTCATATTGTAGTACTGGATATCAGGTTATGCATGCTTAAAAACGCTTGTTGAGATAATCAATTGAGTGTAATGTTTTAAACCTGATCCTATATTTATATGCAAATTCGCTGCATAACTTTCTATTCTGCCAGAAACTCACTAAAGCGAACCATTTTTTGATCTAAAACATGACTCTTGTTCCCCTTTAGTTGCTCGGGAGTTTAAATGAATCTTAATAGTGCAAGGATAAAAAATCATAGTCATGCAAACGCTTACTGTTGAGCACGATGATACTGTCTGATACTCGCGGTATAAAAGCGCTAATCTGAATTCATCTATTGTTTGAATTTGAGTGGCCTATAGCACACTATGAGAGCTCCAGAGTCCAGAGTGTCGCTGAAACGCCGTTGAAATAACTTATTATTTGAACTTTGAATGGCACTACGTACTAGCCTAAATCTAACACGAACAATTGCGTGTTTACAAAGCTGCCTAATTCGTGTTATTTTACTATTTAAGTTCCAAAAATATATGATTTCCACAAGCTAGTCCACCCAGTTCCGATAAAAGGTGAATTTATTCTAGCGTCTGCAGACATGCATATCCCTGACTCGTTAATGGTTAACCTTGAAGGAGCAGCAGACGGCACGCAGATGTGTTTATCAATAGCATGAAGACATTAACCCCGATTTAAGGCTTACGAGGACATATTCATTCACGGAAAGTTGCGAATTTTAAGTGCCAAAAGTTCAGCGACAGAATTTCCTCTTGCGAGTTTTCTAGATGGGGTTTTGCCAACAAAGTCAATGCCAATGGCGCGCAAAAAGAAATCATATTCAAAACATATGTCTATAAGTATTGACAACACTCTACCACCTTATTTCAGCCAAATTCGGCGCACGTTAGTTCATTGCTCACAGGATGTAGTGTAAAGGCTGAAGTCCTAATTTTCGCTAATAAAGACTTAACTTTAGAGCGTTCATTGGACCGGTCATGTTGTATGGATTGCTAATTTGTTTATATATAATTTGTATTTCAATGTAACCGGAGAGCCTATGGCAGCGTCTTCAAATATCTTCCTCATCAAATGTGATTCACAAACTGCCTAGGATACAGAAAATCTTGTCTACATCTCGACCTAAGGGACTTTATCAGACCGGTTCGCATATGAAAAACATCCAAATAACATTTTTTGTGTTATTGTATTTTGTATTTTTGTATTAAAAATAGCATTTTTTGTACTGCTTTCAATTAGTATTATTGTTATTCCCACAATTGGTATTAATGTTATTTATTTACCTTGTGATACGCGAACGTATTTCGGAAAATGGGAACAAAGTTCTGCTACACGTTCATAAACGTCTTTTAAATCCGACCGGCGAACTTCGACCTTGGTTCGACAATCGAGGGGAATCAAAATATCTTTTCCCCTTCCCCAATTCAAGCGACCATGCACCTTCTCGCCAGATTGGACGGAATGCAAGCACAATATCGTACCATTGCAGAGCGTGGAATCATCTGAAACGCCATAAAATCCCCCAGTAACTTTGACAATCCTGGGCAATGTGTACTTATCCAGCAAATGGTCCAAAACATGCGAGTCTGCGTCCCATTTGAGTCTACTCAATTCCAATTCTAGGTTAGTAGACATGATTTATCGACGACATGAACGTAGCTGATCGGTTTCAATTCTCTTTGTTAATTTCACCACTGTTTTTACCACGGTGAAATGTGAAATATATCCCAGCAGATTTGAGAAAAAAACCAATCCAGTCCGCCTATTGTACTTTTGTGCACGTGAATACGGTAACAATGCTCGCGTTTACCGCTCAAGTTACTGGATTCCTAATCCACAATCACTTAACGACATTGTAGACTGTAGGAGATGTAAGTTATGTAACTGCACTCGTTTACCCGTCACTCGTGGGCTAGACTCGAGGCTAGCGCTGGTGGGTACGAGGTTGAAGGGAAACGTGACAGAATCAATTTCTCTGTCTACATAAGGTCGAATCGTATTTTTGTTTAAGTCTGGTTCGCTTATGGCTTTTTAATAATAAAGGAAGTCAAGCCACGCCATCATCAATGGTGTCAAATTTCTTGAAATTTTACTTAGCCAGTGCTTGCATTGCGCAAATTTGCTATTTTCGGCTGAAATCGTGAGAATCTTAGACTTAAAGACTCCTTCATATGGTTGCGATTTTCTGTGCAATTTCGTCTTTTAATTTTGATAGATGCGAACGAGCCGAATAGTTTACATGCTCTGATTTGCCTCTGAACATCAGTTATCAGTTATCGTTATCAGTGACCTTAGTGAACTGCTGCTCGTTCTACTCGTTCGCATCTATCAAAAGAAGAAACCCGTTTCAAATATTACAGGAATTAAATAGGTAGTATGAACGCTGGACCACAAATTGGGTCGCCGCATTCTATAGCATCTATCTCGTTCAACTGATTCAAATTTTTAAGGGTACAAGCGTTCATATAGCTCTCGCATAGGTTAAATATAGCGTTCATATAGCTCTCGCCTTAATTCATGGCGTGCGCATATTTGGCGTGCCAGGCAAGTCTAATTTAGCTCTGTACTAGCTCTGTTCAAGCGCTGTTTCAGCCCTACGTCACATTTACTTCTAGCGTATATATATACAATCTCTAACTTCCGTTCAAGCTGTGTTCCAGCGCTTCTAGAGGTTCGTCATCATTGCAAACGGCTATGGCGCATACCTTCTGAGATTATGTAAACAGCTTTACATGTGTATCTGCAAATTTACGCTAAAGTATGTTTACTTTTTGCATATATCTAGAGTTACAGCCCTAACCTTCGACTCGATTTAAATTATTGAATGACCACTACTATGACATTATGTATTATATTTGAATGAACACTATACTATGACATTCGCCTGTATTCTAAAAGCTCACTCACTTAAACCTTTTGAGTTGGAGATATTAATCTTAATCTTCATTGGCGGTGTTTCCAGTCGAACAAGGGTTTGATTTTAAGTGTTTTACCTTGATTTTCAGTGTATCACTATACTATATGGCATGTATTATGTTCGAAAGACCACTAACTATACTATATGATGTGTATTAATACATTTCAGTACTTTGAGAGGCGTGTTAAGTTAGGTCTCCATCCTCTTATAAACTTAAATAACTTTATAACATGAAATGGACTTAAACCCAATGATTTTAAATTGGATTTATCCAAGCTGGTCAGCATCGAACCGTCTATCAATTCGTTGGCAAATATTTCAACGTGATTTCCCATTCCTAAGTATTCCAATAACCTGCCAACGTCGGCAACATTTAGGCCTGACAAATCTGGTGGATGTTCAGCGATTGCTTGGTAAATTTCTTCTTTTTTCATTTTAGACGTGACCACGGAGGGTGAAGCACGATCTGGCTTGCTGTTAGAATTCTCGAAACTCGCGGTCTTACCACCTTCGGGTTCGAATGATGATGGTGGAAGTGTTGGTTTGGGTAACGTTACTGCCTTCTTAGGCAATCGAGGCTTATCAAGGGTTTTTGGTCGATTTTTAGAGCTCTGAATGGGTTGTTCAACACCGAAAGGCTTCTCATACTGATTGGAAATGTGTTTTGGATTCGATCCAGTGTTTGTGGAATCAGGACTTTTAACAGGTGGTAGTGCAATTACTTTCGTAGGCAAGTGAGGTTTATCGAGTACATTTGGTCTGTTTTCTAAGCACTTTGCGAGTTGTTCAAGAACCGAATTCTCGTTTCGTTGATAAGAGGCATATGTTGGATTGAATGCGGGGTACTTAGAATCTTTGCTTTCCTGTTCGTCAATATCAACCGTGTCGTAAACGGAGTCGGATTCATGTTGAACTGCAGTCGGATTTTTGCTTTTCGGCTTCGGTGGAATAAATGGCTTCGGCTTTTTGGGGTATGGTTTTATATCCGTTGTTTGTGATTGAATCACGGCATCATCATCGATATACTCGTAGGGTTCTGTGTAAATATCATCACTGTTGACGTCTTGGTTGAAGGTCTCGCAAATCTTCGCGTATTCGGCGCTATTTCTGAACGTGTTGTCACAAGCAACTAATTTGACATTCGCCTCGCACGAGAGCTGCACCATTTCGTGCGACCCGTCAGGATATATCCGCGTTCCCTTAACCGCTTCCAAAGTGGACACTCTTTCAAGGCTGATATTGTGAAACGGTTCACAAATCAGTTTCTTAACCGACCGGGCATCTTCATCCATGCTGTAGTAAGGTTCAACAAATTGTACATTCAATGGCATTTTGAATTTATTCAGAACATCCGCTAGGTAGTACTCAATCCCATCGGCCAGAGGTTGAAACGTTGCCACACAATCCTTGGATAGTTCCACTTTCTGGCCGTTTTGATCCAAACAGATCAATTTTTTGTCTTTTTTCTTCTTTTTATCAATGCTTTTCAACTGTAATTTGTCCCCCACGTTCAGTATAATTTCCCCTGAAGATTCATGGCAAAATCCTTAAAGATAATTTGTTTGGTTAAAGGACATTTGCAACAAATTTTTCTTTGTCACATTTCAAAGAACCCTTAAAATAAACGCGGAAGTAGTCACGTATAGCAGGCAAACTGTGGTATAAACTTACAAGTTACAATCCTTGTCACCTAAACACGAACATCGATGCATTTTCCTCCTTAACACCAACAAACATTATATATTCAACGACTTACGCAAAAGTGCCTTACCTTTAACAACACGAACGTGTGGTGGAAACGCTGAACACAGCTCTTCGACACTTTCATAAACCTCTTTCAAATTCGACGAACGTACTTCAACTTTGCTAGCACAATCGAGAGGGATCGAAATCTGTCCACCCTTACCGCAACTCAAGCGACCATGAACTTTCCGGACAGGTTTGACGGAATGCAGGAATAATACCGCATTTTGAAGTTCGCCATGGAAGTCCCCAGTGATTTTTACAATCTGCGGTAACGGGTATTTGTCTAATAACTGAGCAAGGGTGAGGTGCTCGATGTTCCATTTTAGTTTTCGAAATTGCAATTGTACGTTAGCCATAATTATGGTTTCTCGATTTGTTGTTTACGAATATACACACGCCAAGCCTTGCTACTGTGTGAATCTGAGCAGTGTGTCACCCACTATGTAGAAAGTGGTGTCTCGTTTGTCAGCCACCACTCTGGCGGGACGAAGGCCAAATTAGACGGAACTTTGCTGCGTTTAGCTTTCCTCAAGCCCCGTAGGAAATCGCATTGATCCGAATCAATACGAGAGGCTTTGTCATAATAAGGGCAACCCAGTCATGACAAATGGTGTCAAATTTCCCACTTTTCACGAAACGCTTTTCAAGATCATGTGTCACCTTCCAATTCAAATCACCGCAGCTAACCTTTGGCAAGTGAGCAACTGAAAGCCTGTTAACACGAAAGCACTGACGATTTAGCTGCAACAATTTTCAACTGCAATTTGATTTAGTGGTTAAGCTGTGAATGCTCAGAAAATGATCTTATAAACAATTTATTTAAATCAAGCATTATGTAGTCATTTTTACTAAACCTTATTCGGTTGATTATGGTTCCAATTCAAATATTCGCACTCGTGCCTGTGGTTTATCTAAACCAACATGATGAAAAGTTTGTTTGCACCGTGTCCTGAAAGATCTTTTCACGAATTACATAACGAACGTTTTTTATCATCTTTGGTCTCATGCTTTCAGCAATTCAAATCTTGTTTGTCATTCGTGGTTTCTGTCATTTCTGAGGAGTAGCGAACTCTAACTCTAGCGAACTCTGATTGATCTACATCCTCAAGAATAGGTATTTCAGGACACAGGTACATCTGTTACTACAACCTATATAAAATTACAAATTTGAACCAATCAGTTTGAACAAAGTCCTGTATTATTGTTAGGAGAGAAATATTCTGCCCCCCCAGATATTTTATTTAGGGGCCTCTGCCCACTTTCCAGCTTTATACGCCCCCGATTTCTGACACCGATATGACTGTGTCATTCTATTTACATTCTACCTAGTAAGACCCACAACAGATTAGATAAATAACGTAATATTCATATATTTTATCTTAGGACCTCGCATTGAGCAGAACCGATGCGCACTTGAGTTCCACTTTGACGTTATAGTTGTTTCATATAGTTATTATATCACGACATTTTGACGTATGTATCTGAGCACTTAGGGGAACTTGGTTCTTTATTGGGTCTCCACCCGCTAATGAAGTTTAGCAGTTTCTTAATATGAAATGAACTGACATTCAAAGATTGTAAACTTTCTTTATCCATATCGACTAACATTTGACCGTCAATCATCTCATCTTTAAAAGTCTCTACGTACTTTCCCATTCCTAATCTTTTCAATAATCCACCGACACCTGTCAGGTCTAAAACCGAGAGATCCAGTGGGTACCTTGCGAGTTCTTCGTAGATTTCATCCCTTTTCCGTTCGGGTGTCAAGTCAGAACGTGGCGGAACAGGTGGGCTGGTCAGGCTTTCGCGCTGGCTTTCAGGTTTGCGGGGTTTGGGGTCAGGTGGTATGTAAGAGCTTTCGTCTTCCGTATCACAATCTGGCAGGCTGTTAGGCAACGTCACCCCCTCGACGGGTAATGGGATATCTTCTTTAGGCAAGGTTGGTGGTATATCAGGTGATTTGGATTGGGTTTCTGAGCTTCGTCGCTCCACAATGGGTGGCTGATAATCCTCATCGTTAGGCAAGGGTGGGTTGTCTGATATTTTGGATTGGGTTTCTGAGCTTCGTCGGTCTACAATGGGTGGCTGATAATCCTCATCGTTAGGCAAGGGTGGGTTGTCTGATATTTTGGATTGGGTTTCTGAGCTTCGTCGCTCCACAATGGGTGGCTGATAATCCTCATCGTTAGGCAAGGGTGGGTTGTCTGATATTTTGGATTGGGTTTCTGAGCTTCGTCGGTCTACAATGGGTGGCTGATAATCCTCATCGTTAGGCAAGGGTGGGTTGTCTGATATTTTGGATTGGGTTTCTGAGCTTCGTCGCTCCACAATGGGTGGCTGATAATCCTCTTCGTTAGGCAAGGGTGGGTTGTCTGATATTTTGGATTGGTTTTTTGAGCTTCGTCGCTCTACAATGGGTGGCTGATAATCCTCTTCGTTAGGCAAGGGTGGGTTGTCTGATATTTTGGATTGGTTTTTTGAGCTTCGTCGCTCCACAATGGGTGGCTGATAATCCTCATCGTTAGGCAAGGGTGGTATATCTGGTATTTTGGATTGGGTTTCCGCGCTTTGTTGCTCACAAATTAGTGGCTGATAATCCTCTTCGCTAAACAAGGGTTGTTTATTTGGTCTTTTGGATTGAACTTCTGAGTTTCGCCGCTCCATTATTAATGGTTGATATTCCTCTTCCGTTGTCAAGGGTGATTTATCTGGTTTTATAGATCGGACTTCTGAGCTTCGCCGCTCCACAATTGGCGGTTTATAATCTTCATCACCGATAAATGGAGCATCCATCGTTGTGTAGTATATGAACTCGGGACAATCAGGAACAGCCTTCATCGGCAATGCACTGCCGGTCTCCGACGAGCGACGGCTTCCAAGATCTGTGGGCTTTTCTAAGTTCTCAGGCAGCCCCTCCACAGGTGTCTCGTAGTCTTCAGGGATGGTTGTGGTTAGTTTAGGTGCCGGACTTGTGGAAATTTTACTGTTGTTGTTCATTGAACATTTTATGTAATTATCGATGTCTTCATACAAGGAATCCGATTCTGCGTAAGGGTCTGGGCAAGGGTCTGGCCGGCAAAGGTCTCGGCAAGGGTCTGGGCCAGGCTCGGCTGAATCAGTTTTATCCGACCGCTTAATGTCGGGGCTGAACAATTGTAAAATGCTCTCGTGTTCTGAGCTGTGTCTGAAAGCCTCTTCGCATACCACCACACCGATTATTACACGAGGAGATATTATGCGATCGTGTTTGCCATCAGCATCCAATGACGTCGCTGTAATCACTGTCTCATTTGCGACTCCATCCAGGTATATTGTTTGAAAGGCTTGGCAAGGGGGTCTTTCACCCGCCCGGACATCTGCACCTTCAGGCTCCACAAATTGTGCTTTAAATGGCATTCTATATATGTTCAGTAAGTCCGTTATGTAGTACTCTTTTCCATCCTCCAAAGGTTGAAAACCGGCCACACAGTCTTTTGGTAGTGTCACCTTCTTACCATGTTGATTGAGACAAACTAATTTTTCTTTTTTTCTTAAGCTTTTGTCGATGCCTTTCAACTGCAATTTGTCTCCAAAGTTTAGTAAAATCTTTTTGGACTTTTCACAGTAATAACCTTGAAAATAAAAATATACAGCTTTGTTATTTTTCTTCATAATTTTCATAGATTATTATTATCATTTTTCACATCGTTGAGATGCAATTATCTACACATGCATCAAACGAGATTTTAAACCAGTGAATTTTGATCCAACCGGAACGATAACTTGATAAACGTGCGTCATATCGTTTGGTCTGTCAAAACAGGTTTCCTGAGTTTTGAGATGAGATATTGAGTATTGACTCTAAACGTGGGGGTTTTTTATGAAACTGGGACTATTGAAAATTTTCCATTCGAAAAAAATTTAAATGTGAAATCTGTTTATTTCGAATCAATCGATTCATCTTAAGCAGATATAGTCATTACAATCGATTATCTTCAACAGATAGTCATTACAATCGATTCATCTTCAACAAATAGTCACTACAATCGATTCATCTTCAGCAGATAGTCATTACAATCGATTCATCTTCAGCAGATAATCATTACAATCGATTCATCTTCAACAGACATTTATTACAATCGATTCATCTTCAGCAGAGAATTACAACGCAATGTCTTGTAAATATGTGCTGAAGATCAATCGATTAACTCGAAATATACATGGAGATTCAAAATTTTGTAATGTGAAATTAGGTAGACTTTATTCGTAACAACTTGTCAGCGTACGTGTTACAAAATGCACGCTTCTACGCGTGTAGAATTTCACTTACACGATCACGTGATTAAATAGTCCGATGTTTTGAATCGCTGCGACCATCACCACTGTGAAGTTAGCCGCGGATTCGGCCTCAGATTCGGCCTCAGATTGGGCCTCAGATTGGGCCTCACATTCAACTGTGTTCAATCATTCAAAAGTAGAATTTGGTCATTTAATAATAACAGGTTTTTTAGCCATTTTTTCGTTTAAACTTTAAAATTACGAAGATGTATAGCTTATTTATGCATTGCTAGACTGTAATTAGAACAAAGCAGTCGATTTTATACAGATTTACAGAGTAAATTGATTATTATTTTTGGGCACTGTGTGAGAAGTGATTGACCCGCATAGATATGGCATACACTATAATGTTTTATTTCAATTCCTGTGTATACGTCTATATTTTACAGAAAAATACGGCCTTACAAATGGCGTGCATCGTTGGGCTGCACAGTCACAACATACTCGGGATTATTTGCTTCCTTTCTCAAATTAAAAATGTCCTTATGATATAAATACAAAAGACTTAACTAGTATATGATCCTCTCACCGACGCTATCAATGTTACAATTTGCCAAAGTCATTTGCTACAACAAGAATTAGCGTAGATGTGCATACAAATCAAACGTACTATTGCCATATGACAAACAATGGTCCAACGAGGTTAGGATTACAAGTTAAACTCGGCGCAACTTTCACACGCATATATAAGGCGCTATTATACGAATCAAGATCAGGTTACAATTGAGAAAAGTACTTAATATTTAGGTTGGTTCTTATTAACTGTGCATACAAATGTTCTCAAATTTTAGCATTCAGTACATTACTGTACGATCTTTCTAATGACACCTACGTTTTTGCGGTAAAAAGAAAAAAACGAGCGTTTTTGCGATACATTCGGCTTCCATTTTTGACGTATTATTGCGTAATAATAAGAGCGCAGAAAAACTAAACTATTGTAATTCTGAAACATAAGTTGTAATATTAAATATACTTTCCAATGGGTAAATGAATGTCAAGACAGAATGAAGCGAAAAAATCCATGTAAGACATATATAAGACGGTATTATACGAATCAAGATCAGGTTACAATTGAGAAAAGTACTTGATATTTAGAGGAGGATTTCTTATTAACTGTGCATACAAATGTTCTCAAATTTTAGCATTCAGTACATTACTGTACGATCTTTCAATGACACCTACGTTTTTGCGGTAAAAAGAAAAAAACGAGCGTTTTTGCGATACATTCGGCTTCCATTTTTGACGTATTATTGCGTAATAATAAGAGCGCAGAAAAACTAAACTATTGTAATTCTGAAACATAAGTTGTAATATTAAATATACTTTCCAATGGGTAAATGAATGTCAAGATAGAATGAAGCGAAAAAATCCATGTAAGACATATATAAGGCGCTATTATACGAAAATCAAGATCAGGTTACAATTGAGAAAAGTACTTAATATTTAGAGGATGGTTTCTTATTAACTGTGCATACAAATGTTCTCAAATTTTAGCATTCAGTACATTACTGTACGATCTTTCTAATGACACCTACGTTTTTGCGGTAAAAAAAAAAAACGAGCGTTTTTGCGATACATTCGGCTTCCATTTTTGACGTATTATTGCGTAATAATAAGAGCGCAGAAAAACTAAACTATTGTAATTCTGAAACATAAGTTGTAAAATGAAATATAATTTCCGATGGATAAATGAATGTCAAGACAGAATGAAGCAAAAAATCTATGTAAGAGATATATAAGGGCTATTATATGAAAATCAAGATCAGGTTACAATTGAGAAAAGTACTTAATATTTAGAGGATGGTTTCTTATTAACTGTGCATACAAATGTTCTCAAATTTTAGCATTCAGTACATTACTGTACGATCTCCCTAATGACACCAACGTTTTTGCGGTAAAAAGAAAAAAAACGGGCGTTTTTGCGATACATTCCACTTCGATTTATGACGTATTATTGCGTAATAACCAGATGACAGAAAAACTCAATTATTGTAATTTTGAAACATAAGTTGTAAAATGAAATATAATATCTAATGGATAAATGAATGTCAAGACAGAATGAAGCAAAAAAATCTATGTAAGAGACATAAAAGGGGCTATTATACGAATCAAGATCAGGTTACCATTGAGAAAAGTACTTAATATTTAGAGGATGGTTTCTTATTAACTGTCCATACAAATGTTCTCAAATTTTAGTATTCAGTACATTACTGTATGATCTTTCTGATGACACATACGTTTTTGCGGTAAAAAGAAAAAAACTCGGTTTTTTATGTTTCAGAATTATGATAGTTTAGTTTTTCTGTGCTCTCATTATTACGCAATAATACGTCAAAAATGGAAGTGGAATGTATCGCAAAAACGCCCGTTTTTTTCTTGTTACCGCAAAAACGTTGGTGTTATTAGAAAGATCGTACAGTAATGTACTGAATGCTAAAATTTGAGAACATTTGTATGCACAGTTAATAAGAAATCATCCTCTAAATATTAAGCACTTTTCTCAATTGTAACCTGATCTTGATTTTCGTATAATAGCGCCTTATATATGTCTTACATGGATTTTTTCGCTTCATTCTGTCTTGACATTCATTTACCCATTGGAAAGTATATTTAATTTTACAACTTATGTTTCAGAATTACAATAGTTTAGTTTTTCTGTGCTCTCATTATTACGCAATAATACGTCAAAAATGGAAGTGGAATGTATCGCAAAAACGCCCGTTTTTTCTTGTTACCGCAAAAACGTTGGTGTTATTAGAAAGATCGTACAGTAATGTACTGAATGCTAAAATTTGAGAACATTTGTATGCACAGTTAATAAGAAATCATCCTCTAAATATTAAGTACTTTTCTCAATTGTAACCTGATCTTGATTCGTATAATATCACCTTATATATGTCTTACATGGATTTTTTCGCTTCATTCTGTCTTGAAATTCATTTATCCATCGGAAATTATATTTCATTTTACAACTTATGTTTCAGAATTACAATAATTGAGTTTTTCTGTCATCTGGTTATTACGCAATAATACGTCATAAATCGAAGTGGAATGTATCGCAAAAACGCCCGTTTTTTTTCTTTTTACCGCAAAAACGTTGGTGTCATTAGGGAGATCGTACAGTAATGTACTGAATGCTAAAATTTGAGAACATTTGTATGCACAGTTAATAAGAAATCATCCTCTAAATATTAAGCACTTTTCTCAATTGTAACCTGATCTTGATTTTCGTATAATAGCGCCTTATATATGTCTTACATGGATTTTTTCGCTTCATTCTGTCTTGACATTCATTTACCCATTGGAAAGTATATTTAATTTTACAACTTATGTTTCAGAATTACAATAGTTTAGTTTTTCTGCGCTCTTATTATTACGCAATAATACGTCAAAAATGGAAGTCGAATGTATCGCAAAAACGCCCGTTTTTTTCTTGTTACCGCAAAAACGTTGGTGTCATTAGAGAGATCGTACAGTAATGTACTGAATACTGAAATTTGAGAACATTTGTATGGACAGTTAATAAGAAACCATCCTCTAAATATTAAGTACTTTTCTCAATTGTAACCTGATCTTGATTTTCGTATAATAGCCCCTTATATATCTCTTACATAGATTTTTTGCTTCATTCTGTCTTGACATTCATTTATCCATCGGAAATTATATTTCATTTTACAACTTATGTTTCAGAATTACAATAATTGAGTTTTTCTGTCATCTGGTTATTACGCAATAATACGTCAGAAATCGAAGTGGAATGTATCGCAAAAACGCCCGTTTTTTTTCTTTTTACCGCAAAAACGTTGGTGTCATGAGAAAGATCATACAGTAATGTACTGAATACTAAAATTTGAGAACATTTGTATGGACAGTTAATAAGAAACCATCCTCTATGATTGTAACTTGTTCTTGATTAGCATAATGGCATCTTATATATCTTTTACGTAGATTTTTTGCTTCATTAAACCTTTCAGTTAAATTTTGAGCATCTTTGGCTATATATTCAGTTTGATACCATAACTAATATTATAATTGTCTAATCTCTAATGTGTCTAATCCTCTTGAATAAATGTGTCTTTTAATTAAGCAGGCATAATGAGATCATCTTTCTTTCGCATTTTGTTCGCTTAAGTGCGTCTATTTTACATGTCATCACTGTTTTAATTGCTTTATTTTAATAGCACGTCAACCTTCTGTCTTCTGAGTAATCCCTTAATGCCTAAGCGCAGGTTCCATCGTCTGCGCTACAAACTGCATCAAAACACGTATTATTTTGTAGAACAATGAAATCATACCTTCATATAAACAGAAGTTTTAACTTCAATGCAGTGGATGGAATAGGCATGCATTTTGTATGAAATGCATAAATTTAAATTGCACAATTAGGATGATAACGTGGGTATATATGTCAACACCATGTAATATTGTAAGATGTTTTTGCAATGAGTCGTTGCTGTTGCCCTGAAACATTCAGCGTGTAACGTCTGCGTCTTCAACTGATGTGTACTTTTGGATAGATGGGAAAATACTGTTCTAAATAACGTTTGAAACGATCTATATATGCGTGTGAAAGTTGCGCCGAGTTTAACTTGTAATCCTAACCTCGTTGGACCATTGTTTGTCATATGGCAATAGTACGTTTGATTTGTATGCACATCTACGCTAATTCTTGTTGTAGCAAATGACTTTGGCAAATTGTAACATTGATAGCGTCGGTGAGAGGATCATATACTAGTTAAGTCTTTTGTATTTATATCATAAGGACATTTTTAATTTGAGAAAGGAAGCAAATAATCCCGAGTATGTTGTGACTGTGCAGCCCAACGATGCACGCCATTTGTAAGGCCGTATTTTTCTGTAAAATATAGACGTATACACAGGAATTGAAATAAAACATTATAGTGTATGCCATATCTATGCGGGTCAATCACTTCTCACACAGTGCCCAAAAATAATAATCAATTTACTCTGTAAATCTGTATAAAATCGACTGCTTTGTTCTAATTACAGTCTAGCAATGCATAAATAAGCTATACATCTTCGTAATTTTAAAGTTTAAACGAAAAAATGGCTAAAAAACCTGTTATTATTAAATGACCAAATTCTACTTTTGAATGATTGAACACAGTTGAATGTGAGGCCCAATCTGAGGCCCAATCTGAGGCCGAATCTGAGGCCGAATCCGCGGCTAACTTCACAGTGGTGCGACCATCACGCATATACAGCTACAACGTTGCTACAACAGCAGCAACAAACACAGCTACAACAGCAGCAACAAACAAAAAATATTGGCTGCTAGCGTTACTGCGTTAGGCAAATTGCTTTTGAATTGGATTGCATTGAAATTGGTTAAGGCCAATGTTAGCAAAACGTCTCGCATCTAAGGCCCGTTTCAAATGTCAAATTTCTCGGTTGCCAAATCGAATGCAAATGAATTTAAAGGCTTTAGCTCAAATTAGGTTAACTGTGGCTCGCCAAACGACAAGTTCGACGTCCGAAGCGAGCCTTTTTGTTTTCGTTGTGATTTCTTTTATTTCTTTTCCGAAGCAAGGCACTCTTTGAATACGAATATTACACATTTAAAGCTTTGTTTCTGGTGTGGTTAGCAAACAATAGCACTTAGACAATTAATAATTGTTGATATACCACAAGAATTGTATAATTGCTAGCGCTGTCCGGTACTGCTATGTGGAGATATTGAATATTTAGTGCAAAATTGCAAATGGCTTACCTTTTGAGACGCGGGCATATTTTGGAAACACCGAACATAATTCCTCTACGCTTTCATAAACCTCTTTTAAATTCGAGCTACGCACTTCCAGTTTGCTGCGACAGTCGAGAGGAATGAATATATCTCTGTCCTTTTCACGGTTCAAGAGTCCATGGACCTTTTGGGTAGGAATCGAGGAGTGTACGCATAATATTGTATTCTTACCCAGGGATGGCTCATTCTTGTTCGGAAAGAAGATTTTGACAATCTGTGGCAAAGGGTATATTTCTATCAATTGTGAGAGGGTAAATGCACAGGAATGATCCCATTTAATCTGCCTAAGCTTGTCCAATTTCGCTTGTAAGTCTGCCATCGCTGTTCGAGGTATATCTTAGGACAACGTTACCATATCGTAAGCTTGGAAATTCAGCAAATTCCTGAGCTGTGCGATGTGTATCGAAGCTTCTCCAACACGAGAATTCAGCAAATTTCACAACAGATCAGTTTTCAAAGCAGTGTTATTTCACCACACTTTAGTAAACATACACAGACTGGAATATCGATCAAAGTAAACAACTTTGGCTACTACCGTGCACATCAAAACCGAACAGATGAAACCACAGCATTCTCATTTGTCTAGTGTCTAGATGGCTGTTTGGCAGTTGCACAATATCAGCGCACATACATGTAGCGATCAGGTTACGGTACTTAAATTTGGAAAATTTTTTTGCATTTTCTACAGACTGGTGTCACGTTACCAATTTAATTAGCAAAGGTACAATTCGACTTTAAAACTCGCTGAGTGTGATTTCCCATATTCCAAAACGTTGATAAATGAAACTACTTTAGTTCATCATTATTATTTCATTACAAAGTCATCGTCCGTTTAAAAATCTCACTATTGCTGGACCGTATGAAAAACATTACCAATAAACTAGACTTCACTACAGGGGGCTGACGGTGGCTTGCAGAACTGCAATTTTGGAAACTGCAGTTTAATTTATATTTATCATTTCTTATGTGCTATGGAAGTAAATAAACATTAAATATAGTCTTCAAATGAGATATCTATGGTCCTAAGCTCTAGCTAGTTTATAAAAAAAGACTAATGACTACTAATACTGTTCATTATGATTTACAAAAGGGGCATGGCAACTGCGTAAAATAGCTAGACGAAACGTCGACCTAAAGTTCTAAACCTGTTGCCATTTAGGCCTATATAGCTAAATGGTTTCATGGCCTATAGTCTTCAAAAGCTGAGCCTTCATGAAGGGTGCACTCTTTATTTTGTCTATTTTAGGCAGTTGTTAAACTTGTTACTACCACATTTGAGTTAAAGTTATCAAAAGACAGGCGCTACTTCTATTAGAACTTAAAAATCATGATTAAAACATTCAATAACTTGAATGTTCTATCGACGTTTTAATTCTCCTGCGACCACAGTCCGTTTAAAATTTATTGTGTATATTTTAACATGTAGAATCTTTCTCCTTGTTCGGTCTCCATCCTCCTATAAACTTCAATAGCTTTGTGATATGAAAAGTACTTACATCCAATGATTGTAAATTCTCCTTATCCAGTTCCGCCAATATTTTACCGTCAATCATTTCGGCTTTAAATCGTTCAACATACATTTCCATTCCTAAGTTTCTCAGTAATCTACCAACACCCGCCACCCCTAAATCAGACAAGTCAAGCGGGTATTTCGCAAGCTCTTGGTAGATATCTTCCGTGAGTGTAAAGGTAGAATCTTGATTTGTTTCGCGAGGCACAGCTGAATAAGTTCCGTTTTTCGAAGACCTCCTTAGCAGCGCATCTTTGCTTTCCAACAAAGATGGAAGCTTTACTGCGTTCTTTGGAACACGTGGATTTACTGGTGCCATAGGTTGATCTTCTGAACTTTGGTTGCCAGGATTCGCTGGTACAAGTCGTTCGTAAGTTACCTCAGCGGAGTTATCTTTCTTAGTGAAATCCAGCGCAGTGTATGTTGAGTCTTCGTCTGTATGTTGGCTTTCTAAGCCCGACAGAGCTGTGGGAACTGGTACGTAAATGTTATCAACAGGTGTTCTGATGGTGGTGTCTTTTTGAACGGGTATTTTAGGCAAAGGAATGGCGGTGGAGCGCGAGTTAACACCTACTTTAGGCTGGTATCCCGGGTCATCTATCGTCAACGGATCCATATTAGGTATCTCATAACCATCATTAAGGTCTCCGTGCCTCTGGTAGCATGTAAACTCTTCATAAATATGTTCGGACGGGAGGTAGAACAAGCTTGAGTCTGCTGCATTTGGTTGCTGTGGGGCTGAAGGAAACGTATCCGGCAAGTTGAACATCTTTAAAATGCTCTCGTAGTCAGCGCTGTTCTTGAAAGTCTCATCGCAAATTACCAGACTTAACTGTAAGTTTGGAGATATCATTGCATCGTGAATACCGTCAGCGTGAATTGACGTGGCTGTAAGCACCGTTTCGTTGGAGATTCTGTCAAGACAAATTGTTTGGAAGGCTTCTCGAGGGGACGAATTGTCCGACCGGGCATTTTCATGACTGTCGTCAGGCTCGACAAATTGAATATTTAACGGCAGTTTGAACTCTCTTAGGGCGTCAGTGATGTACAACTCTCTTCCATCGACCAGAGGTTGAAAACCAGCCACACAATCCTTCGTTAGTTCGATTTTCCGACCATATTGAGTGAAACAGACCAGTTTTTCATTCTTTTTATTAGTTTTATCGATTCCTTTCAACTGCAGTTTATCTCCAAAGTTTAGCAGAATTTCCCCCGACGATTCACAGAAATAACCTTGAAAATAGTATAATGTAGCCAGATTAATCCATCGTTGCATATCGGCGTTCATAGTAATAGTAAAGCGGAATAATAATATCAGATCCTGAAACCATTTTGTCGAATTGCAAAATGATATATAGTGTAATATTTCGTAGTGCGTGAAGTTTTATTGAGATGATTTGGTTGAGACGAGTTAACTGTAATAAAACCTGGATGGCGAACTCCTATAGTTCAGCGTTATACTTGGTTTAAGCCAAAAGTTGTTTTTTAAGCAGTTTTTTAAGTTTTATTTAGTACTCTGTTTCTCGTTTAAGTTTAAAAATTTGCAAGTGATTGTATTGCACATAGTTCTAGACTTTCCTAAATAATTACTCTCTTCCTCTGTCTGAAACGTTCAAAAACCCAGAAAAACTACCATGAAATTTGGCCTCAAATATGGCGGCCAAGTTACCAGGTTTTATTACAGTTCACTGAACTCAAATAAGACTGGAACGCTACCTCTGCGAAAAATTTGAAGCCAAGATGGCGGATCATGAAGCCTTTCTTGTAGGTATGATCCAGGCCTCCACGCGGAAATTTCGTAGGTAAAATGGCAGCAATTATGATTTTACCTTTGAAATTTCCGCGCCAAAGGCCTGGATCATACCTACAAGAAAGACTTCATGATCCGCCATCTTGGCTTCACTCATTAATGAGGGAAAATCAGAGAGCCAGCATTCCAGTCTTGTTTGAGTTCAATGGTTGAGACTTGTGCACTCTACCTATGTGAACTGGAACGTTTACTCGGCCGCCATCCATGAAGCCAATTTAAAGCCGAATTAAAAGACCAGCACAGGTTCTTCACAGATGGCGAAAGAGTTATCATTCCAGTTCACAATAGCGTTCAGCGGCTGAGAGTGAATATGAATAATTGACAATCTAACTTCCTTGGAAATTAAAATGCAGGCTTTGTTTTGACTACGTATTCTATATCGTCGTATAGTTTCCTATTCACTAGATGAAATTCTATATAGTTCATACACGAAATTTGCATCATTGCTTTTTATAAACAGTATGATATATAGCGAGTAAAAGTTATTTACCTTTTGAAATACGAACATACTTAGGGAAAACTGAAAAAAGCTCTTTCACATTTTCGTAAACGTCCTTCAAATTCGGCGGTCGTACTTCAACTTTCCTTCGACAATCGAGCGGAATCGATATTTCTTTGCCTTTGTCACTCATCAAGTGACCATGAACTTTCTGAATTGGGATGTTCGAATGAAGGCATAATATTGCATCATTGCATAAAGTTGCATCGTTGCTCTCGCTCCACAAACCCTTGTTTATCTTCACAATCTGTGGCAAAGGGTATACTTGCAACAGTTGAGGCAGCGTAAATATCACGGAATCGTCCCATTTTATCGAAGCGAGTTTGTTCATTTCTAGTCCCCGTAGTAAAGTAGACATGATTTCCGCTGGTGGAACTTACGAGTATCACTAGACAACCAATTTTACTTCAATGTACGATCGAATATGCCAGAGAGGATGTTATATACGTGGCCAGAATGATTCGACAAATTCCGCAGTCGATGTTCGTTTAAATTTACCACAAACTGTTAACTTTGAAACATTTTTTACTTGGTCCCCAAGAGCCGTCAAATCATATATAGTCCCGAGCCTAAATGTGTAATAGCGATACAGGAAGACTTGCACTGCTGCTGGAGAATGTTTAATACCGCAATTTAACGATACCATACTGTGACATCAATTTATTATCATGCTTTCAAATTCATAATTTGAATGTGTCTATTCGACCAAAACAATTACGTAGTCATACTGTATAAGAGTTGACAAACTTATACAAATTATCTTTCTTTTATCTCAGCACGTCTAGTCGAATATATTGCACCCAATTTTCAAACGAAAGAAATCCAGTACACTAAGTTCTCAGTGCCACATAATTTCTACACGAGTTTGTCGCATGTTTCTACCTGTTATCAGTCATTTAAATGCACATAAATTGTAATCATTAAGTCGAAGAATTGAAATCGATTGCATGCAATGTGTATTGCAGCAATTCAAATTTATCTAGATATACTGAAGATTCCTTTTTCATTTTGCACGCCTTAAGTTTTTTTACTCGTTTTACTCGTAACATCCATTTTGTATTGAATTTGAATCATAAGCAATTCTGGCGTATAAAAACTGTTTAGCTGTGTTAAATTATCATTATCAAACAATACCGCTTACTATATTTATAAAATATTATGTTTTTATGTTATTTAGGTAGCTAGATGAAACGGCGCTTGTTTTCAGATGAATGTCTGTTGTTCAAAGGTTTTTCGCGTGCCAAGATTGAGAGGAGAGGTAAGAAATTATATTTTTGAAGCAATTTTAGACAAAAATTTTCGAATTCCATCATTCCATGTGGACAATATGGTACAGCTAGGAAAAGTTACCAAAATTTTCAAAGACGAATTTCAAAATTTCGTATATATATGCCAACATTTGTACTCTCTTATGTACAATAGTCAATAGACTGTAATAGTTACACTTTTCAAAATTCTGGTAGAACTGTTTCCCTTATTATATCCATCTTTATTCGTTTCTAACCCACTTTATGTTCGATCAATGTTTCACTGTTTTATGAATATTAGTATTTTATGAATAGTTTAAAAAATGTACACATTTCAGGAGGTCCCTGTTCTCCAAACTACTGAATTAGTTTCATTAGATCAACTGCATTAGGCATAAAATATATATACTTGGTTAAGGAAACCTTATCGAAACATGCTAGCTAAATACTATATATATATATATATATATATATATGAACCTTAATTCATATATATATATGAACCTTAACCAAATCTGTGCGCAAATTTCAGCATATTTTCTGTACCCAGGCATTTTATTAATCTACCAATTGGCAACATTTGAACCTGACAAATCGGCTAATTGTTTTTCGGCAATGGCTTCCAAAAAAATTCTAGTTATTCTCGTTTGAATGTCACGTATGTTTGTAAACTGACTTCACAGCTTAGGTCGCCATCCTTCGATGAACCTCAACAGTTTCTTCGAATGAAATTGACTCATATCTAGTGACTGGAAATTTTCTCCATCCATATTGGACAACATTGAACCGTCTATCAACTCGTTTGCAAATATTTCAACGTGTTTTTCCATTCCTAAGTGTTCCAATAACCTGCCAACATCTGCAACAGTTAAACTTGACAGATCTAGTGGATATTTGGCAGCAGCAGATTGGTGACTTTCGTGAGTTTTAGGGTGTGAATGAGGTATGCTGGTGGGATACTTAGGTATAGCATGAGTATCGTGAGGTTGCGTTTCTGATGGTGTAGTCAAACATTCAGGTTTGGGGATTACATCTTTTCCCTCGGGAGCCCCAGATTGTCCAGTTATCTTCGGCTCACAATCTGTGTTCTGTTCAGGTGCAACATTAGACCCCTGAATAGCGACTGACCTATCACAGTTCTGGAGTGAGGGCTGTGGGTCTGGTTTGTTATTGGATGCCTTAGGCGGGCTATCTCTGTTGTCCACTTCAGTTCTTTTGGGTGTAATTGGAGGCGGAGGACGCTTGTTTTTCAGCTCGGCAGTTAATCCGATTTCCTTCTTAAGCGCGTGTTGTTGTTTTTCGTCGCGTTCTTCCTGTTGGTTTGCCGAGCTCTGCAGGCATTTCATATTTTTGATCAATGGAGGAGTTTGTTGGATCAAGCGAAGTGAAATCGGGATATTTTGATGGCTTGTTGATAGATAATGCATTTGTATCTTCCTGCAAGTTTTGGACAAGTGGTGGTTGCTGGTTTTCTAAGCTCCTCGCAGTAAGTTTGTCAACGTCGAGTTTTTGGTACACTTGTTTGGAGACATACGTAGGATCAAGTGTCATATATGTGGGATTGTTACTAAGATTCTCGGGTTCACTGTAATCGTCTTCGTTAAGTCCGATTTTGCGATGATTGGCGCTTGAATCGGAGTAAGCCTGCGAATTTCTTGTTTTCGGCTGTTGTGCGAGAGATGTGACGTCTGCCGATGTCGTGTCTTCGTAAATATCCTCGGATTGTTTATTTCCCCTTTGGCCACGGATCTGAGAGATACTGGTATAATCTTCGCAAATAACAAACCCTATGTCAGAGTCCAAATTAATCATTGCGTCGTGTTTACCGTTTGACTGTATCACCGTCGCTTTAATTACAGTCTCGTTTGAGACTCTTTCGAGTAAAATGACTTCAAAGAGTTTGCAAGGCGGATCGTTACAGGACCAGGCGTCTTCGACGATGCTCGGTGAAGAAGATTCGAGGAATTGTACCTTTAAAGGTAAACCAAATTTTCTCAAAGCATCCGTTAGCTTGTACTCAATCCCATCGACTAGAGGTTGGTATCCAGCCACGCAACTTTTCGTTAGTTCAACCTGTTGACCGTGTTGGTTGGAAAAGATATATATTTCATTGTTTACCCGGCCTTTGTTAACTTTTTGAAACTGCAATTTATCGCCGAAGTTCACTAAAATTTCGCCTGACGTTTCACAGAGGTATCCTTGAAAATTATGTAAATAAACAACATTAAAACTATTGCATTTCATTTACACAAACGGTATATTGCTTTCCACACACAATAAAACATACCACGAGCAATATATCTAATTAGCAAACACTATTTTGTTATAACTGCATCAAATGTGGTATAACAACTGCCTAAAATAGACAAAACACTTCTCGACGTCTCGACCTGAGGGCCTTCGTCTGGAGAGTTAGTGATGTATTGCTCAACGAAACGTCGAGAAATGTTTTGTCTATTTTAGGCAGTTATTATACCACATTTGATGCTAAGTTGTTTGAAGACGTTGTCACGCTTCTCCCTGGTTATATTGGAACGTATCATTTTGTTATACTTTAGTTTGCTCCATCATTGTTATTTTTTCCAATTGCTGCATTCATCATTTGCATTATCATTTTGATTTCAATAATTTTTATAGAAATAATTTACCTTGTGAAACACGGACGTATTTTGGATACATTGAACATAGCTCCTCAACGTTTTCATAAACATCTTTTAAATTCGATGGTCGTACTTCAACTTTCCTTTCACAATCGAGGGAAATGGACATCTCTCTAGCCTTACCATCACCAAAGCGACCATGCACTTTCTGAATAGACTTGACAGATTCCAAGTATAATATCGTACCATTGCACAAGGTCAAATCATCGGATTCACCATAGAAGCCTTCGATGATTTTGATAATCTGCGGTAGACAGTATTTACCCAACAACTGAGATAGTGTGAAGTATTCTGCACTCCATTTAGCTGAGTTAAGTTTGTCAAATTCCGATTGTGAGTGATCCATAATTACTTAAAAGTGTTTATTCAGGAACGAAGGAACTCGATATATGTCTGTAGAACACCGTCAATATTAATTTGGACAGTGTATTACAGTGTTACCCTGGGTATTCATCCATCGAAATCCACGATTAGTCACAGAATTTATGTATTTATGTTAATATAAAAAAAACCAAAACCTTTTTCTAAAGATACACTATATCAACACGTTGTTTTTCGAAAAACCGGCTTCAATGGCCTTATGGGCCGTATTCGGCACAGGGTGCGCTAATTGTACTTATTCGGGTTACACTCTCCCCTACTTTAAAAGTTCATCGCATCCGATGTTATGTCAACATGTCCGACTGTCCGGGTACTAAATACTACTTCTATATTTCCACAGTAAATAGGTTGATCAGGCCTACTCACACTCACAACTTTACACTCACACTCACAGACACACTCAACTTAAACAATGTTACTTTGCACTAAATTGCGTCCTAACACGCGTAACAAGCTAAATTTCTACTATTGTAGCTTTACTAGCTTAGTTCAAAATGTCATGTTCGTGGAATTAGTTACCACATTCCAAACTGTCCAGTAGGGTACGGTTGAAACATTTTCCAAGGGTACTGCACTATCGATAATCCGCTGTACGGCGGTGGTAACCATCCCGAGTGTAGTGGGAGGTAGGGAGGAACTTGCCAAGGTTGTATGTCCGTAGGTGGTGGTACCCATCGGGGGGGCAAAGGGGGGTAAGGAGGAATTTGCCAGGGCTCTATGTTCATAAGAGGAGGAGGAGGGAGTAGCCATCCGGGATTTGGCGGGTGGTAGGGAGGAATTTGTGTAGGTTGCATATTTGAATTAATCGCTTGGCAGAATAGGGCTGGGTTTCCGGGTTGATTATAACCAAATCGTACCGGCGCCTGTCGTATTCGTTGTGGTCGTTCTCTTGGATCGACGGTGTTCTCATCATTCCGCAGTTGGTCTCCATTCTCAGTCGCTTCGTTCTGTGGTGGCGCATTTCCGTCCACGGTTTCGTTGTTGTGGGGTCCTCCTCCTTGTTCTCTTTCACCCTCGTCAATAGCGACTATCATATCTGGATCTTCATCTGGGGTTTCTTCATCATTCACTTCATTTGGCACCATAACGGGTTCCTGCTGTTCTGGTTGGGCCGCTCTGTATTCTTCGACGACTATTTCTGGGTAGTCTTCGTCCGTGTCCGATTCCCGTGGTTCATTCGTTGTTTCGTCTCTAACATTGGGCTTCTTACGTCGTTTCTTCCGGTCTTGGCTATTACTCGCGTTCTCCGTGTTGGTCGATGGTTGTTCCAGTAAATGGCACGGCAGAAGCAGGTTTCTATGAAGTACGCGTACTCTTCCTTCTGTTCCTTCCGGCTTTACTTTATACACTGGACTATTTTCGCCCTTACGTTCAACGACAATGTGGATCTTGTCCTCCCAGTAAGCTCTTAACTTACCCGGTCCCCCACGTTCGCTCAAGTTACGAATCAACACGCGGTCTCCTGGTTTCAGCGAGGAGCTGTGTACTTTCTTCCGATCTCTCTCCCCTCTCTTTCGAAATTGGCTCCCCATTCTTCTCTTAGCAAGCTCGTACGCCTCTTTCATTGCTG